GAAAGTGATTACATAAATAGAAGGATTTTTTATTGGTGCTAATAAGCTAAGGAAGGAATTTCTATAGGTGTAAATAAGCCAAGTTATTCTTTAGCTATATATATGGTGGTGCCAATTCTAAAGAATATCTTTAATTTTTAGTCCTGTAGTGAGGATGTCTGCTTTCTTGTTAGCCTTAAGAACAGTTGTTTGAAATACAATGTTCGTTTGGCCCAGCCCAGAGTTATTTTGCCTGGTTGAAACATTCCAGCGGTTTGAGGAGAAAGGCGTGCAAGGCAGTCCCTCTGGAATGGCTGTCCTAGCTCTATTTTAAAATGGCTGCACTTATGTCAACTTTTTATAGGCCAGAAGTGGATCGGAGGCTGGAGACAGCCTGGCAGAGTGGTTCTTTCAGTATTTAATTTGTGCAATGCTCAGTAAGGTATTATTACTTACTTTTACAGCTTAAGAAACGTAAGCTCATTAAGTGACTTGTCCAAAGTCACGAGGCCCATAACGAGCAGATCTGGCAGTTTTACGGAGGTCTGTCCTGACCCCAAATCCCTGCTGTTTTCTCAGCAGAGGCTCGAGCATCACAGCTGGGCTTTCCAGGCTGTAAATGCTAGAGAACAGTTTCATGGAGGACTGATATCCTCCTGGGAAAAGAACTCCGGAGGTTGTCTAAGTCACAGAGAGACACGCTTCTAATACAAGACTATAGACCTCAGAACCTAGCTGCAGACCTGAGCTTTTGTATTGAACAAAACAAAGATCCTCGCCTAACTTTCTACATAAATCATTATTGTTCCGCTTAATGGGGCTGCCATAAACCTAATAACCTGAAGGATTTGCAAGCATTTTAATGAAAAGTACACTGGCATTTTAGAGGAAAGTAACTGGGCCCAGGGGGATGCAGTTTGGATACAGGGAGATTTATTCTGGCAGTCAATAAGCTTGGTTACCTGGGCGATGTAACACATTAGCACAGATGAGTCTATGTGATAAGCTGCTGCCAGCAAAGAGCAGAACCCGAAGACAAGCAGAAAGGCACCGGAGAAGTGGTTTGTGTGGAGGGTGACAGGC